TGTATTCAACCTCACTTATGCCTTCTTCCACCCTATGGGAAGCCTCACATAAACAAAATATTACAATTACGTCGCTCAAAGGAAGTAAGGGCAGTGCGATGCTTTGTTTTATGGCTACCTGATATTTGGCAAGGATTGTAGCTTCCCGACACTTCCATAGTGTGGAAGAAGGCATTACGTTAGGTCTGAGCATGGTCCGAAGGCCAGCCCACGAGCAAAAGGTTCGAACGTCAGATAGTCATATAAACAAAGCATTACAAGGACTTTGGTTTTTGTGTTTTCTTGTACCTGTAGATTTGCCTTCGACCCAAGCCAAGTACCTTTTTTTTCCCCTATAATGCATCTAACCAGCTCATTTTAATGCCTTTATCTACTTAGTGAGAAGTCTCAGGGGATTCACTATTTGCTTAGTTTTTCTTTGAGTGCGTCTCGAATTTTATCTTAGCTATCAAGACGGCGAGCGCCTTAGGACATATGTGAAAAGTTACAATGGTCGGTTCTCACAACGCAGTTTATTTTATAAACACCTCGATATTTGATTTCGATAACAACATTGTCCACTAACTTTCGTACGCAAATGCCTTTACATTACTAATTAACTGTGTACTCCTAATATTATTTTTCTGGTAACCTGTTTTTAATAGGCATCAGCGTTATAATACGTCAGATTTGGTTCATGTCGTGAGAATGCTAATGTGATTTTAATGCATTTGATCATCACGACAACGTTGGGTACTTTCGTTAGGACTGGTTCTCAAATGCAGGACGCTGGAAAAACGAATCGTGACGCTTATGTGTAACCACTTTACAGTTTTGTTTAGATGAATCAATGCGTGTACTACAGAAGATGTCAGCTGATTGTCAGTCTCTATAGCTAGTTTTCCTTATGTCTAAGTCTGGGGATCTTCTGGGTGAGCTCATTGGCTACCGTTTTACTTTATTGCATGTTATTCAGATTGCGGGTTTTTCTCAACGTTTGGGTAATATTTGCTCTGCTCTACCATTTTACTTGGATTTACTTAATTTTAGACAACACATTGAACGCGTGGTTTGTACTACTTTTTCTCATTATTCCTAAATTTTCCACTTTTAACGTTTTATTATTTGTACAAACATATATTTAAAATGTTCTGCTTTGTTTTCTTTCATTCTCATAACATCTGGTGTTCCAAGTATTATTTCTGTTGGTATTTCTGCACATCTTCCTGTTCACTCAGCTTTCTTTAAACAAATCACGCTCCTTATTTACCACTATATATAAGGCAACTCTAACTGCGCTGTTGATCTGTCGCATTTCTGACTTGTGGTTTAATACGTAGATGACGCTGCAGAATGGGTTGAGCTGTCTCCCTTTGCCCTAAATACTGGGAGGAACTCTCCACGTAGCCGCTATGCCGGCGTCGTGATGCACTCCACTGATCTTTCGATGCTATGCTCTGCCCTTGAAGATCATACCAAGACCTCCATTGTTCCTTTGAACACAACGGTCGGCACTACTATTTCTGAAAACCAAAAGAATGCGGATTTTGTTCCAGAATTATGCGTAGGTCAATTTGGTGAATGGCCTAGCCGTCCAAATGTGTCTGGGTATGTTTGTATCAGTTGTTAATTCCTGATTGTCAAGTAAATTGGTTACTGTTTACAACTCGTGAATATGGTGTCTTTATCGGACAGTAGCTATACTGTCGACAAGTTCTGGTCTGTTCGGTAGCACACACTCACAGGCGTTCACTTTTTAAGTAGACTGCAAAATATTCTGTTTTTGGCTCGGAACCACCTTTGATTACTCACCCCGCAGTAATTTATTCACAGCTTGTTGTTGTTGTTGTTGTTGTTTGATATTCACTGTCCCATTTAAAAATCAGTTGAATTTAAATCTGTTCATCTATTCCTTTTAATAATTAAATTGGCAACACAAAAGTACTTAGAACCAGCAATTCTCTACCAGCAATTCCTGCGTCTACCACCTCTTGCC